CCTTCAGCATATCTGGGACTCTATTACAGTGTAGCCTTCAGCGAGTCATCCTGACCATCTTGTGTGGAAGGGCCATCCATCTGGACGTTTCTCTATTGATTCAGCTGGAATGTGTTGCGAGACAAATGGATGTGAACTCGATTCATCACTCTTGTGTTTCCCGAGCATATTCCACGTCACTCTTTCATTCTCTGGCTCGCTTCTCTTGGTCGGCTTCACACCATGGATCGGCTTAACTCTCATGGTGTCATTATGTCCTCCCGATGTGTTTTGTGCAGATCAGCTACAGAGACCCATGACCATTTGTTTTTCAGCAGCAACTTTTCCAGTTATGTTTGGCAGGAGGTCACTACCAGGACACTGCTCCAGTGAGCTAGCTTGCATCTTCAACAAAAAGGTGACTTCAGCCACCTTCTTTCCCGGTTGGTCCTTTCAGCCACAGTTTATTTCCTATGGTTTGAACGGAATAATCGCGTGTTTCGTCAGCATTGTAGCTCTTGCAGAGATATTGTCTTAGCTATTTGTGATCTAGTTCGGGCCAAGATTTTGGGTCTAGCACCTAAGTACGAGATCTCGACTCAGCTCCGTGTGATATGGCATCTTCCTAACTAGCTTTGTAAGGAACCGGCATGCTCTTTTGTGTCGGTTTGTGGCTTTGTGTTTGTGGTGAGCCTGCGCACTCTTTTATGCCGGTTTGTGGCTTTGTGTTTGTGGTGAGCCTGCGTGCTCTTTTATGCCAGTTTGTGGCTTTATTATTTAGGGCATCTTCTTGCTTTGTGGGGAGCCTGCGTGCTCTCTTTTTGCTATTCATGACTTTGTGGGTTTTCCCACGGGTTCTTGACTGAGAGTTATCAGTCATCCTCTTGGGGTATGCCCCTCGTATTCGTACATTTTTTGTCTTTTATTCATACTTACCTTATCCAAAAAAAAAAAAATTTTGTTGTGTAATATAGTCTCAATCATATTATTATTATTTTGAATTCCAAGTGACACATCTGAAAAGTAAAAACAATGCGTATCGAAGACAAAGAAAGCTCCAATAATTTCTTTAAATACTTCTATAAATATAAATGAGATATTTAATTACTGTTTTTGCCTTTTGGTTAAGCTTTTCTATTATATAGTTTGTTGCATGGTATAGTATTAATTCTACTATTATTATTTTGAAATCCATATGAGAGATCTAAAAAACAAAAACAATGTGTGTCAAACGCAGAGAAAGGTTCAACAAGTTCTTCAAATGCTTCTATAAATGTAAATGAGATACGCAAGGAAAATAGACGAAGAGGATGTCTAAATTAAAAAGGAAGAGAGGTAAAAAATACCTATGTTTTTTAGATTATGATAAGTTAAATTGGCTAACTAAATCTATGTTTTTAGGTGCTTCTCTGTGTGCAAATCTCGATTCTAATATTCCAATTACTAATGCAGAACAGCACAATCGTGAATTTTGAATCTAACAACATACATTTAAACATTCAGTTTGTTATATTTTAAAAACATAATCTTATTTCATTACATTGTAAAAATACATGTGTGGAACTTTGCCGAACCATTTATAACATTGCAAGTGTTGTTGAATATTGTGATTATCTTTTTTTATTATTTTCATTTCCAGGTCAAACATTGAAAAAACAAAAGAAATCTTTACTAGAAACAAATAGAGGTTCAAAATCTCACTCAACGGAAAGAGGTAATAAATGTCATATTGTTAGTTAGACATATTTAAATGTTGACTCAAATATTAAAGTTATTTGGAAAAAAAAAAAAAAGTCATTGTGAGTTCCCAAATTAACAGAACACATCTAAGTATTAACTTTATCATTTTCTAAAAATATCATGTTTTTCCTTTGCACACTAGAAAAAGAGTCTTGGAACTTTGATGAACCATCCTACAAGTGCATTCATTGTGGATCAGTCATGTGCTACGAAGAGCAAACTATTAAGAACCAAGAGTCAGCCATCCCTTTGTTTTCATTACGTTGTATGGATGGCAAAGTTCAATTACCGTTATTGAAAGAATCGCCAGAACCATTAAAAGGTTTATTGGATGTGGGCAGTTGTAACAAGGGGATTAGTTTTAGAAGCAAAATAAGGATATACAATTCATTGTTCTCATTCACATCGATGGGAGGGCATGTAGAACATGAGATTAACCAAGGGGGTGGTCCATATGTTTTCAAACTTTGCGGACAGAATTACCACTAAATAGGATCGTTACTTCCACCTGAAGGAAGGAAACCTCAGTTTGCGTAGCTTTATATTTATGACACAGAGTATGAAACAAGTCATAGATTATATTCTATATGAGATAATAAAGTCGATAATACTGTTGACAGGGAATTAGTGCAGGAATTGTAATTGATGTTTGATGTGAGCAATGAATTGGTTAAAAGTTTTCATTCTGTCAGGAACCATATGCATTGGAATGATATTAGAAATATGCATTTGCAGTTGAAAATGAATAGGGAAAAAGATGGAAGACGATACAGTTTGCCAACTGCATCTGAAATTGCGAGTTTAATTGTTGGTGATATTGGAATTTCAGAAACTAGAAAAGATATCATTGTTCATCATTCAAAAAAGGGTCTTCAAAGAATTTCTGACTTGCATCCAAGCTTTATGTCATTAAGTTATCCAATATTATTCCCATATGGAGAAGATGGATACAGAATTGACATTAACCATAAAGAGTCTCCTAACAAAAAGTCTTCAAAGAGAAATAGGCTGAGCATGAGAGAATATTATGCATTTCGGTTGCAGTATAGATTACATAAAGGGCATACTCTAATGAGATTAGGTAGATTATTGCAGTAATATATTGTGGATGCATATATGGCTGTTGAAGAGGAAAGATTTCGTTGCATTAGAAACAATCAGAAAAAATTGAGGAGTGATTTGTACAGCAGGTTGATGGATGCCATTTCAAAAGATGATGTTAATGCAAAGCATCTAGGGAAATCTACATTGCTCCCTTCATCTCACACTAGTAGTCCCCGATATTGTGTTCAGAATTATCATGATGCAATGGCGATTTGCTGATTCTTTGGATATCCATATATTTTTCTAACGTTCACCTATAATCCCAAGTGGCCAGAGATACAATAGCTATATAATTGTATTGGAGAATGTGATCAAGAAAGTAGAGTAACTGTAGTTTGCAGAGTTTTTGAGATCAAATTGCTTGAGCTAATGCAAGAGATAAAAAAATGTGAATATTTTGGTGAAACAATGGCAAGTAAGTAATCCAATGAATAATATTTCTACCTTTTTAAAAAAAATTGGTTCATTGATAATTTATGATATGAAATTATATTATACCAACTATTTCTAAACACATTATAATTGTTTTTTTCAGTTATCTACACTATCGAGTTCCAAAAGAGAGGCCTCCCGCATGCTCATATATTAGTTTTTCTACATTTCGAATATAAGAATCCTTCAGCATCCAAAATAGATGAAATAGTTTCTACTGAAATACCAAATAAGGAAACTAATCCTATTGCCTTTGCAGCTGTCGAGAATCACATGATCCACGGTCTGTGCGGTGATGTTAACAAGAATTCACCATGTATGGAGAGAGGAAAGAAATTTGTCGATCAAACATCTGTGGATGACAACGGATACCCAATGTACAGAAGACGGAATAGTGGAGCATATTTTGAGAAAAAAGGAATCAAATTGGATAACCGTTTTGTTGTTTCTTATAATAGGAATCTTTTGGTTAAGTTTGATGCACACATAAATATTGAAATATGTAATCAACATAGATCAATCAAGTATCTATTCAAGTAATTTAACAAAGGGCCGGACAAAATGAGAGTTTCTATGGAAATTGAAAATAATGGTCAACAGAACAATCAATGTGAGATTTTACATAACAAAGATGAAATAAAGACATATCTGGACTGCAAGTATGTACATAATACATCAAATATAACGTTTTTATATTGTTTGTTCATGTTTGTTATACATATAATATTAATTGATTCAATCAAAAATATTACAGATATATCTCTTCTATGGAAGCATGCTGGAGGATATTTCAATTTGACATGTATTACAGAGAACCGACTGTCGAAAGATTGTCATTCCACTTAGAGAACGAACAAACAGTTATTTTCGATCCAAGTAAGTGTTTGGTTAAACTTTTGGAAAGCAAGGTTGTTACGCAAACGAAATTGACTGAATGGATGAAGTGTAATCAACGATACCAATCCGCAAGATCATTGACTTATCCTGATTTTCCAAGCAAATGGGTTTGGAAGGATACAGAAAGAAAATGGTCCCCCTGACAAAAATCAAGGTGTATTGGCAGGGTGTATTTTGCATTTCCAAGTAGCGGAGAGAAATATTATTTGCGAATGCTTCTGAACTTAGTAAAAGGAGCAACATCATTTGAAGATATTCGAACTGTCAATAGAGAAATATTCAGTACATGCAAATATGCATGTTATGCATTAGGATTGCTGGATGATGATAAAGAGTGGAATGATTGCTTGGATGAAGCATCAACATGGGCTACCGGAAGACAATTAAGACAACTCTTTGTAACTATTCTTGTATATAATGAAGTGGTGAGTCCAAAAGACTTATGGAAAGCAAATGCAAAATGCCTATTTGAAGACATTCCCTACATTCTTAAACAAAAAATATGGATGACAGAATTGAGATGCACTGAGGAAAAAATTTAGAATCATGCATTTTTCGAGACTGAAGAGCTGATGAAAAAGGCAGGAAAATCCTTGGATGATTTCCCTGGAATGTCAATTCCAAACTGTTCCATTTTTTAGAATTCACATAATAGACTAATTGCTGAGGAATTAGATTATGATATCTACAACGTGAAAACACTGCACAGTGATTTATACAAGGGTCTCAACAATGGCCAGAGACGCATATACGATTCAATCCTTGATTTTGTCAACAATCAAAGTGGAACACCATTTTTTATTTACGGACATGATGGAAAATGCAAAACCTTCCTATGGTCAACAATCATGGCCAAATTAAGATCCGAGGGTAAAATTGTACTGGTTGTAGCTACATCAGGAATTGATGCATTGCTGCTATCTAGTGGAAGAATAGCACATTCACGTTTTCGAATTCCTTTAGATATCACTGAGGAAAGTACATGTGATATCAAAAAGGGGACACAATTGGCAAAACTACTCAAGCAAACAACTTTGATTATTTGGGATAAAGCACCCATGGCAAATAGGTATTGCTTTAAAGCTCTTGACAGAACTTTGAAAGATATTTTGTCTAAAAAAGTTCGATCAAATACAGATAGAATATTTAGAGGCCTCACTATTGCCTTGGGTGATGATTTTAGACAAATTCTACCAGTTATACCAAAAAGGAAAAAACCTGACATAATCCAAGCTTGTTTATCATCATCTACCCTTTGGAAACATGTAACAGTGTTGAGACTTACAGAGAACATGAGATTGAAGACAAACTTGATAAACCCAACAGAATTGGATAATTTGAAGACTTTTGACAAATGTTTACTTGATATTGGAGAAGGAATGGACGTTGCAGAAGATGAGAGTTGCATCGAAATACTTGAAGACTTGAAAATCGTCAACATAATAGTCATGAAGAAACAATTATGAATGTTGTTTTTCTAGATTTATCTGCTCAAATAAATATTATTGACTATATGAGAGAGAGAGAGAGAGAGAGAGAGAGCAATATTGACACCTAAAAATGAGACAATACATAGATTGAACGACTGTATCATCTAGAGTTTGCCAATAGATGGAAAGAAGTATTTCAGCTCAGAGAGCACTTGCAAAGCAGTAGGTATCTCAAATGATGATGATATTCTCTATCTGACCAAATTTCTTAATTCTCTGATGTGCTCTGGCATGCCCAAACATGAATTGCATCTGAAAATTGGCATTCCAATTTTGTTGCTACGTAATTTGAATCAATCTGATGGTCTTTGCAATGGAGCCAAACTGATTATAACCCATTTAGGAAAGTGGTCCATACAAGCAGTGATTATTATCGTGTCAAATATTGGGGATATTGTTACAATTCCCAAAATAATAATGTCGAATGCAGATATGAAGTGGGCTTTTAGGTTGAAGAGAAAACAGTTACCTGTGACAGTTAGCTTATGTATGACAATAAACAAAAGCCAGGGTCAATCACTCAAAACAGGAGGATTGTATATTAAACATCAAGTCTTTACACGTGGTCAATTATATGTCGCACTATCAAGAGTAACCTCAAGACAAGGTATCAAGATTTTGCTAGCCCTGCCATAAGATGAACTGATAAAGACATTGACAAATACTGTTTTCAAAGAAGTGTTTAACTGAAGGGGTTGATATGTTATATATAATAAAAAGCATTGTTTGTAACATAAAGGATTGATACATTGTATATAATACAAGACATTGTTTATAAGAGATTGATGTTAAAAATTAAAGATATTTATATGAATATGAAAATGTCACATTAAATGTTTAAACATATACAGAAACATAAATTCCTTGATACAAAGATATTTATACGTTTTATATTATTATTGTTAGATACAATGAATGCTACATTATATGTATTATGTGTTATAAATGCATATTTTTTACATACGCAACTCAACCACAAACTCTTGCACGACAGACATCGTCAAGATATTTAACATCAATAGTACAATTAAACACTTTAAATATTTACAAAAGTAACATTACATAGGCTAGAGACTTTTTTTCATATACACAAAAATTAGCATCAACTATATACATCCACGTTTGCAATAATAATACAATTATAAACACTTGCTTGGCAAATATTGTCAAAATATTGGCAAATACTGTCAAAATATTTAACAAACGGTTTAAAAGTTTACAAAAGTGGCATTAAGTGGACCAGAGAAAGGTACAACAACATTGCAGTCAATATAATCTCTATTAGGCGGCATCTTCTCATTTTTCAACACAATTGTCCTTAAAAAACTAGAATCCTCATTTGGGAATCTGTATCATAAGCCTCTTCTTTATCTTTCTCAGCTTGTGCAATTAAAGATTTGATGTTATCATTTTCTTCAGACAATTCATTACTTTTCTTTTTAAAGACTTCCTTTTGATGCCACTCATTTGCAAAAGACTATTCAACATTTCTAAATGACTCTTGACAGTGTTTCAATTCGATTTTGGCCTTTTCAAACACCTCTTTTGATATTTTCAACTGTTTTTCCAATCTGCAAACCTCGGAAATCACATCTTCATTTTCTTTTTTCAAATCTGAGATCACATCATCTGAAACAAGGTAACGTTCTCTAATTTCTAAGAAACCTTCATAAGCCTATTTCAAAAACAATGAAACCACGTTAACATCATTGTGCCAAATAAAGTATATATTCACATGATAAATTGAAAAAACGTTACCTCTTTCCCTAGGCTAAATGTTTTGTTGTCTAGCTCTTCTTTAGAAAGATTTTTCCATTTTCATTCAGAATTCATATTTGAACCCTCTTGCTGATAGGTTTTCTTCCATTTCACCAATTTACGTAATGGAATTTCTTCTGACTAGTTATCTTCTTCTTCAATCAATTTAACATGGCAGGAACCAGAATCAAGTTTCACAGAATTAGAAGCCAAAGCAAGTAAAACAAGAGTCTATAAAGGCGTTCACAATTCTGACTTGGAATTACTGCTTGATCCTCCTTTATACAAAACTTCAAAATCAAGTCTTCAAATAAATTTCATCAAGTTTTTGGGAGCCATTACTATAATGAAAAAATGATATCATCAAATAAATAAAAATAGAGAAAACAGACATTCAACTTAATAGAAGTTGTAAGACTTTGTTATTTCTTGGGAGACATTTATTCTTCGTGATATGTGGTAGAGACACAAATTAAAACAACAATATCTTAGATTTACTATAGAGAATACCAAAACCTTGGCAACTGTTCTGAAAAATAAATAGATAATTAGACAATAACAATGATTGTACTTTTGAAGCATTTGTACCACTGGCATTTCATAACATCAATTCATAAAACAATGACAATATCAAAATATACACTAAATACAGCAAGATAATAAACAAAATCGTAATGAGAAAAACATCAATTTTAGCAATAGTTTTACCAAGAAAATAATTTGCAACGCGCGACTACTAGAACAACAAATAAACAGCCTGACCTGAACAAACAAAATCGTAGTAAGAAAGACACCAATTTCAGTAGTAAATTTACCGAGAAAATAATCAACAACACGACTACTAGAGAAACCAATAAACAACCTAAGCACAACAAATTATCAGCACAATCATCTAACAACAACTTCTTATAACAATAATAACAAATCTCAGAACTCCGTAAGAATAACATGCACTTTAATCAAAGTTAAAATAGATGACAAATTAATTAGATTAATGTAAAATAAAAAACGACATTGTCACTATAACTAAAGAAAATTTACTTTACTTATCTCAACTTCAGTCAATGAGAAAAGACGGACGTGGAAAACGCGACAAACGGACTGGGACAAATGCCTATAAAGCCGAAACTGACAAAGAAAACCCTAAATCCCCAAATTGACTTCAACTAAAATACTGAATATTAAATCCGCATATTTTCTTTAAATATCAACAACATTTTAAAGGACAACGTTTTTCATCATTTACAAATTTTACAAAGCCAAAACGATAGCGCACTGTAAAACTTTAATATTACCACTTCAGCTAAACAATGTCACTATAACTTAACATAGAAGTATAAAAGAAAGGAAAATCAAAGATTCCTTCAAAATCTCACTATCAAATACTAAACTTGACAATAGAAATGAATTTGACACTAACAATTACAAAATCAATAGAATTTCAAATTCAATAGTATAAGCAATAATGATTCCATACATAACATAACATGAATTGGAAACAGATAAAATACTCAATTGCATATTGCTTTGAAACCACTTCATTTTGAAATAACATTAATGGACAACAAAAGATCAACTTGAAGCAACAGAAAGTGAAATTTTACCATATGTACATAATTATGCAGACAGATAATACTTTTCCCATGGGAGAAGATCATCACGCAAGTATTACAATGTTGACAACCTAAAACGAAAGCATTAGAAGGATGACAACCTAAAACACAACGGACCGATTCTATATATGCTTATTCAACAACATATTATGTAGATATTACATACAAGCAAAACAAAATGTTAAAATTATAGTCTCTACAGTATTCTAATCAAAGAGTAAGAGACCTCGCCTAATCCATTTTCCATAGGCCTTCCTCATACTTGTACCACCTCATAAAGCCTTCATCACTTCGAGTACACTGGCACATGATGCATGAGTGCTCAGTACAAGTTAAGAACTCACGTAATTGAGCAGTCTTCTCCAAGATAATTTTATCTAGCTTCTTAATAATTTTTTCGAGCATCAGTGGATGAAGCAGTGGACCTTCTATGAGAAGGCAATGTGATATGTTGAGGACTTCCAGGTTTGGTAGGTCATCCATTGTAAGTATTAGGGCATCCTTAACTATCACTAAGCATCTCAAGCTCAAAATCTTCAAATTTGGAAGAAATTTGGCTATCATAGAAGCAAAGAGAACGTCAAAAAAATCCATGACCTTGAGTTCACTAAAGTTCTTGCAATTTAGGGCTATTTCCTCTATAAGATAAGGTGGATTTACTATACTAGGCATTGTCAGGGATTCAAGAGATCTCCATGTACGAATGGCCTTGCAAATTACATCCTTCTTTATTCTATTCCAAGGTGGCATAACGAGACGCCTCAACTGGAGGCACCTGCAGACAACAATATATGGTGGGTTACTTCCCAATTCACTGTACCAAAAACAAAATTTAAGATGATGATCACTGGTACCAAAGGCAATGCCAAAGACTCAGTCAATAAACAGCAAGAATAAAAAAAAAAAATTACCTTTCAACAAGGTTTTAAACAGAAACATAAAAAAATTACCTTTCAGCAATATAAGTAAATTGTTGTCCCCTACATACAAATTGAAGTGAAAAATCAAGGTTCTTATGTGTCCTCGGCTGAGACTCAACGAAATCTTCAACAAACGAGTCAATGTTTTATTAGAACACTCATCCACGTAAACATATGGCTCTAATGGGATTTTGATGAAATTTAATCTCAACATTGAAAAATCAAGAGTTTTCCAAAGCAAAGGATCACAACAAGCTGAACGCCATGAATTACAAACATGAGCAATCCCTGAAGTCAACTGGAAGACATCAAAACACAGGAAGATTTTTACCAATATTTTAGTGTCCAGATCCTCCCATCTTCTTACAGTAGAGGCACCCTCTTTCATTTGACCAGTTGCCCAATTATCTCATAGAAACTTTTAGAGCATCAGAGACTTGCATAAGATATGCACATAATCCATGTACAATGCACAAAATATCATTCAATACATTAATTTATATGAATTTAAAAAGATTAGTACTAATCGAATGTATCAAATACTTAATATACCTATGCAGAGATATAGATGAATGCAAACTGTTTACACTTAAGATAAATTAATACTTGACATTAAATGATTATGACCAAAAAAGTTTAAATTTGTTGAATAGAATAATCGATTTTTCTTGGTAGAATCAACAAT